TGGCTGATGGTGACATTTACAAGTGCATGGTGGCTGATGGTGCCCTCTACCAGTGTATGGTGGATGATGGTGACCCCTACCAGTGTATGGTTGCTGATGGTGACCTCTACCAGTGCATGGTTGCTGATGGTGCCCTCTACCAGTGCATATTGCTGATGGTGCCCTCTACTAGTGCATGGTGGCTGATGGTGACCTCTGCCAGTGCATGGTGGTTGATGGTTGCACTTACTACTGCATGGTGGCTCATGGTTTCCCCTACCAGTGCATGGTGGCTGATAGTGACCCCCTACCAGTGCATGGTGGCTCATGGTTACCCCTACCAGTGCATGGTGGCTCATGGTTACCCCTACCAGTGCGTGGTAGCTGATGGTGACCTCTACAAGTGCATGGTGGCTGATGGTCACCTCTACCAGTGCATATAGGCTGATGGTGCCCTCTACCAGTGCATGGTGTATGAAGGTGACCCCTACCAGTGCATGGTGGTCGAAGGTCTGCTCTACCAGTGCATGGTGGCTGATGATGCCTTCTATCAGAGCATGTTGGCTGAGAGGGACCTAAACCAGTGCATGGTGGCAGATGGTGCCCTCTACCTGTGCATAGTGGGTGAAGGAGACCCTTACCTGTGCATGGTGGCTGATGGTGCCCTCTTCCAGTGCATGGTGGTTGATGGTGACTTTTACCAGCATGTGATGGCTGATGGTCGCCTCTACCAGTGCATGGTGGCTGGTGGTAACCTGTACCAGTGTATGGTGGCTGAAGGAGACCCCTACCAGTGCATGGTGGCTGAGGGTGACCTTTACCAGTGCATGGTGGCTGATGGTGACTTTTACCAGCATGTGATGGCTGATGGTAACCTCTACCAGTGCATGGTGGCTGGTGGTAACCTGTACCAGTGTATGGTGGCTGAAGGAGACCCCTACCAGTGCATGGTGGCTGAGGGTGTGACCTTTACCAGTGTAGGTGGCTGATGGAGACCTCTTACCAGTGAATGGTGGCTAAGGTGACTTCTGCCAGTGTACAGTGACTCTACTCGAAATTGGGCTTACCATAATGGAAGCAAGTACTTGCTCCTTAGACAGCTAAATTTCGGGAGCAAGTAGCTTCCATACATCATATGTGTTCTGGATAATTAAACAACTTAAGGCCAAACAAAATAGTGCTTTTTATTGCCATGATTGAAAAAGTAAGTTGGGTAGGTGGGTGTATCTTTTGTTTCTTCTAAAGTTAATGGGTCAAAAACTTGAGGGTGGGGAATATATTTTTTTAAATTAAAAAGTGATTTTGATGGTCAATGGTGTATTTCATCCACTGTTTTTTCCTTGGATTCCTTACATGAGGATCAGTCTTATCAAAGATTGTATCCAGCTCAGAGTCTCTTCAGACAAATATGCATTTGTGTTGCACTGAGATTTTAAGTTAATGTCCAAAATTTGTTTGATGCACATAGAGCACTTGAAACCTGTGCGATGATGCATGACCCAGCGATAACTTTGCGTGCCCGGGCCCTCACCAGTTGTAACAAAACCCTCTTCCGGCGAAAGTGAAAATGTTCTAGCCTTAATGTCAAGCAGTAAATTCACAGGAAATGTGTGCTACCATGAATTATAGTGGAGAGTGTTTGTTTCAACTTCCGCTCACGCAGGAACGGCTGCAATGATTCCCACTGACACACGTAGGAATATTGATGTTTCATTGGCAACCAATCACAACACAATGACTGGATGGTCCCCAGATGCTGTTTATACACAAGGCTTGCCCTTTGAGCTGGCCGGTCGAACAGCAGATACATACCAACGTACACATGTACATTATGGAGTTTCAGTAATGTTGGTCCTGGCCACATGTGTGAGCCTGCCGTGCTGGCGCTCGATGACATCTTAAAAAATTGTACTTATGTTGTAGTTCCATGACAAGGGTGATCTGATGTAAAAAACTTCAGGTGTTTTTCATGGCAAGAATAGAAACAAGTGGCATTGCACTTTTTTTTATAATTTAGGGGCACACTTATGAGACAATGGGCTCTTTTTAGCTACCCGTGCCCGCTAATTTCGGCCTCTGGTGGCTGATGGTAACCCCTACCAGTGCATGGTGGACAATGGTGCCCTCTACCAGTGCTGGGTTGCTGAGGGTGACATTTACCAGTGCAAGGTGGCAGAGGGTGACCCGTACCTATGCATGGTGGCTGGAGATGACCCCTATTGGTGCATGGTGGCTGATGGTGACCCCTACCAGGGCATGGTAGCCTTGGTCAAGGCGTTTGGCATTCGTTGCAGCGCATCGCGCTCCAGCCGCTCACTGACCTAGTGCGTACATGTACCAGCGTGCGTACAAACCTGCATAAATTACAAAAACCAAGGCGAAGAGCGACCTCACGCGGCCCAAGATATGTAAATCAGCTGAATCAGGATGAACGCCTTGGTGCAACTGTCCACAAAAGTTTGTTTTTATTTTACTTGTGTGCTAGATTTCTAGTGCGCAATCTCGTATGCGAATATGAATAGTGCAGGCGTGCGATGAGTGCACAATGACTAATCTCGGCTAAGTATAACATGCATAATGCATCAACGTGAACTGATATGCATGATAAAATGGTGGACCTTCCGAGAAATCTGTATGTTGTTTGAATTCCGCTGTAGATAAATTAATGTTAGTCAATTTTCGTGCCAAGCAGCACTAAGCCTCAGAATACTTTCTGGTGGATCACAACGTTTTCGTGAATTTGTCAACAGGTTACGGGAAATGCAAAACTGGAGGTCGCCGTCGCGACCAAGTCAATATTGCAACCAATGAAGCCAGATAGCTTTTGTCCACTAATTTAAATCGTTGGGAAAAAAATCAATCACAGTCGGTAGACAAAAGCAAGGCAAAGGCGAACTCGATCTCCGATTACTCTGATCAGCTGGCAAAATAAATATTGTTGACTTGTCATGTACATGTACATGTAAGGCCACGTGTGCGTTAAGGTAACCTTTCACCTTACGACCGATTTGAACTATGCAGTTACTATGTAGCAGCAAACCAATCCAAACATCAGCTCTTGTCATCAGCATAATGATTACTGCCCAATACAGCTTCCGTGAACAGTTGCATCAAAGCATTCATCCTGGTTCAGCTGATTGGCATATTTCTGAGGCTGCGTGAGGTCGCTCTTCACCTTGATTTTGCAATATATGCAGGTATGTACGCACGCAGGTACGTACTAGGTCAGCGAGCGACTTGTGCACGTTGCGCTGCGACGAAAACCTTGACCAAAGCTAAGGGCATGGTGGCTGATTGTGTCCTCTTCCAGTGCATGGTGGCTGATGGTGACCCCTACCAGTTCATGGTGGCTTAAGGTGACCCCTATCAGTGCATGGTGGCTGATGGTCTCCTCTACCAGTGCATGGTGGCTTATGGTGCCCTTTACCAGTGCGTGGTAGATGATGGTGACCCCTACCAGTGCATGGTGGCTGATGGTAACCTCTACAAGTGGCTGCCTCTGTTGGGTGACCCCAATCAGTACATGTTGGCTGATGGTGACCACTACAAATAAATTTGTGTGCAGGGTGAACCCTACAAGTGCATGGTCCTGCAAGGTCACCCCTGCCAGTTCATGGTGGTGCTTATGGCCCCTATTAGTGCATGGTGGCTGAGGGAGACCCCTACCAGTGCATGGTGGCTGAGGGAGACCCCTACCAGTGCATGGTGGCTGATGGTGACCCCTACCAGTGCATGGGTGGCTGATGGTGACCCTTCCAGTGCATGGTG